CACAATTAAAGGCATCACTATAATCAAAGAAACATACCCGAACAGCTTTACATTTCCTGTCCAAGAAGGAAGAGATATAATGAATGAGGGGTGCCAACGCATCGATGGTTGACCTGGAACTGCAGTAGGCAAATTGATTTGGATCAGGTGCATTCAGCTGGGGCAACATCTTTTGTAGTAAAATCTTTTCCATGACTCTCAAACCCACAGAAGTGCAAACAATCGGGAGAAATTTAGAGGGTCCCTTTGTACCAACGTTATATTTTACTTGAAACCGAAAGGTCGCATATACTGCGTCACTGCGCAGTAACTTCTGAGTTATGGTTGTGAGACCTTAAATTTGCGTGTGGAAGATTTTCATCGTCCAGAAGTCTATCAATACGAATGTTTACGTAGTTTGGCGTTAATTGGGAAATGCATCATCACATCATCATCCTCGTACAGCGAGATACAGCGAAGAGAACTTCACTGATCGCTGTCAAGCTCACAATGTACACAAATGATAAAGCACAAGATGGGGAGGGATTGGGCCTAATTGGAGGGACGCAAGGAAAAAGAACCTATATGGTCAACACAGAGTACGTAATCCAAGTGTGCATACATACGTTTTCAAGCATTCTGACCTGATGGAAAATGACAACAAGACCGCCACTGCTGTCGGTTAGTCGCCATATGCTTCAGTGTCTCAAACCAGACAGTTGCAAAATACTTCGGACCCCAACCTGGAAGACAAGAAACACAAATTCTTCCCAATCACTCTCTACATTTCTTCATACCTCGGTTCCACGTCATCTGTTGACCTCCACGCCGTTTCTTCCAACCTGAAACCTCAACGGCGGATAAGGTGCGGTGCGGCAGACGATGGCTGGGCATGCGCAATATGTGTCCTAACCAGCGAAGCCGACTAATCTGAATTCGATGGGACAACGAATTTTCCATCGACTCATTACCAAATACGCGACGCCTCACCTCAGAGTTGCTTACAAGCTCGCTCCATCTGACCCGCGCCAAACTGCGTAAACATCTGCAGTCGAATACTTCAAGACGACGAATATCTTCCACGCGCAAATTTAGGGTCTCGCAACCATAGAACAGAACTGACCGTACACTGGCGCAGTATACACGAACTTTCAGTTTCAACGAAACATCGCGTTTGCACCAAAGGTTTTTCAGTCCTGCGTAAGCTGCTCGAGCCTTGGAAACGCGG